TGGCCCACATCTTTATACAGGATTTGGTTTGTGGTGGTCGTTCAAATTTTAACCCACACTCCACACTCCATAGACCATACAATCCCCATATAACGTGCGTGTTGCATGTGTATTAACGAAATTTCTAAATCAAAATTTAGAAATTTATTTTTATATATTTTTCAAAAAAAAATATTTATACATATTGTATGTTTGAATTATTTATATATTTACAGTTAAAGATGCAAAAGAATTGCAGAAGAAGAACAAGATCATAATTCATCTCAAACCACAATTAATACAAATGCTGGGGAGTGCAAATGAAAATAATACAAATTCTGGTTTTAAATCATAATTTGCATCGAAATCAATTGCATTATCATAACTTTGCATCAGTGCAAATAAATTTGCATTGCAACCAAACACAACAAGATGAATAAGTTGATGTTGAACCAAAGCAATTGTAGTGCAACCCTTCTAGCTAGCCCCTCTTACAACCAAATATATACCTTTCACTTTCAGCAGGAAAAGGAGAAGACATGCTTTCAATCCACCACCATTCACGTTGTTCATTGATCACCACCGCTGAATGCTGACACTGAAAAAATGGGTAGATCTCTCTGGTCCCCAGTTCGGGCCGGTACCCTGGGAATCTGGATTTGGTCTTCACACCATTCTTATAATACTTGCTGTATTGCATTGGGAATATCTCCCCACGAATAAAAACATACAAGTAGGAGATATGCCAAATGCATGGCTGTAATTGTTTTGAGGACAAATTTTCTGAGGATCAAAGTCCAGTGTTGTGCCCTGATCCTATAAACCACCAACTGAATAATTCACATCCGCGCCTCACAAATGCTCCACAGAAAATCTCAACCGTATATTAGGAACATCTCCCATTAACAACTTCAGGAATTGTTTCTAATGCACGCTGAGATGTGCATGTGGGGCGTTTTTGAGGTGCCCCATAGGGCACAGATACCATTCCAACCATCTAAAGCGGCCAAGTGATGATGGATTCTTAACAGAGATTATTGGAGTACTGGTTTTATGGCTGAGTAGAGACCTCAGTCTTTACCCAACTTGTTAAAACAGGCTAAGGAGTGAGGATTACCAGATCTTACGTGAATTCAAATCAGCCCCCCACCACATCCCAGAGCACATCCCCGCCATGTATTGGGARCATCTCCCGATGATAATATCCGGAATGATGACATCATCATCGGGAGATGTTTCCAATACACAGCGGGGATGTGCTGTGGGACATTGTGGGGGGTTGATTTGGTCTGATCTTACGTAACTCACTGGATGGGGCTAGCCAAGTTTTTACTGGTTCACAGAGTGAATAGGATTGGGTGGAACAACTGAAATCGAATTTGCTACTTACAAAATTATGCTGGTAGCCTTTTTCAGCCATGTATTAAGAATATCTCTCCATGAATAAAAAAAAATATAAACATGAAAACATTTCCAATGTATGACTGAAAATGACTATTAAAACGGTGTGAGCACAATTTTTGTGAGGACCGAATCCGCCATCAGAACAAGTTGTGTGGGGAATGGGAATCATCACTGAAATAATCTGCTAAATCCCATCTTAGAGATACAGAAAAAATCACAACCATAATACTAATGCCTTGATATGTGAATTATGAACCACCTGGAGCAAGTATAGAGTGAAATATTGGTCAGAATTCGGATATTCATGAGAGCTTTGATAAGATACAGAATTTTCTATTAAAGTTTTTTTTTTTTTAAGTTTGGTAGAGGTTTAAATACTGAACCCATATGTGTTTTGATGTAATGAGGAGGAAGAACCAACTAATTGACCATCTTTCTTTTCAAGTGTTGGCTGGCTATGCATGTATTATGGGATGATTGGGATCTCATGAATTTAGAATGGTTGAGTAGGACAAGTTCAAAAGATTCCTCAAAGGCAGTAATTAATTAATGAGGAATTAATTTCTGAGCCGAAAAGTGAGCCTCATTTTTCAATTATTTAACAATTAATTAAAAGGCTAATCCTATTCTGACTATTTAACTATATCAGTTTATGGGTTCAATGAAAACTGGAAGCTGGAATTGTATTTTGAATCTCAATAAAGTGGGGACTGGGGAATGCCATTATCAGTCCAAAAGGGATACCTCCACAAGCGCCCATGATATAAAGCCAAACCTTGATGCTACTGTCAAAAGGACCAAGGGTGCTGCCATTGGACGCATAGCCAAGGAATATTTTAACTGCAAAAAGGAAATAAGTCCTTAGAATAAGGGATGTCAAATGCAGCCTTATATGCCATCCACATAAGACCCACCTCAGAAGAGACCAAATATGTTCCTAACACATGGCGCCTCACAGGCACATCTTATGAGAGATGTTCCCAATGCACAGTGGGATGTGCCTGTGAGGTCATTGTGAAATGCCCTATGTGAGGAGCAGATCCCACCTCACCTCAGAAAGCTAAAAGCAGTTGTGCTACAGCCATCCAAACAGGCATTAATCAAAAGTAATTTCTCTGATGACATGCGGGTTTCCTACTCACAAAATGGTCCTCACACCCACCTCACAGCACTTGCAGCCGTGCATTAGTAACATCTCCCCCGTCTGGATTCGAATAATCAGGGAGAGCCTTCTTATGAGTATAAAGATATTGGATATCCATAATTGAAGGTGACTCAAAATGTGCAGAACAAGAAGCTTACTTTGAGCAAAGTCGTCCCAAGAAATTAAGGGGGAAATTCCTTGCTTCAATGGCTGCATCCACCTGAATGAACCCTCTTTGTCTTTCTGTCTATAGTTTGGCTTCACAAATCCCAAGCTATAGAATGGGCAAGGCTTCACCAACATAATCTGACATGGCTTCCAGAGCATATAGCAGCAGAAGCCTCATGGCAGCTGGTTGATTTAATCCCCTTACATTGTCCCTGCAAAACGTCCTACGTTGAGATTTAATTGCAGTCTCAGAACTTTGACACACTGTTGGTAATTCGTACAGGACAGAATTGGCCATGGCTGATGGCTCCTCTTGCCGTGGGGTCGTAGAGCTGTACGAGCTCCGACAGTTGAGGCCATCTTCACATGCCAAGTTTCAGCTCAGGGGCTTCTGTGACGATATGGGCGGCGACAGTCCCCCCNCCCCCCCCATCACTTCTCTGCTGCTGTCAAATATCAATTCATGGTAGTTATGGATCAAAATTTCATTAGACACAGTCCTGAAATCAAATGGATGAAGTTAACAAGTCCCAGACAACATTAATTGGCTCATTTAAAATCACACTTGGCTAGCAGAAGAGAAATTAGCAAATGTAATGGAAACACCCTGTATTTGTCTAAGAATAGACATGGGCAAATGATGCACTGATATTGCAACTTTAAAGAATTTCAAAGTTTGTTTGGTCTGCCCAAAATGAATGCAGAAGTTAAAAGGCTTGAGTATTACTCAATGAGGGGATGAGGGTAAAAGAAATACTCAATCCAACTGTTGCTTTCTCTTTTCCATTCTTACCCTGAAGTCAAAAGAAAAAGAAGGAAAGAAAGAAACTTATGGCATCCGAGCAAACAATCAAGACCCCACCACCTCTTACCGATTACTATGAAGCAGGTTTTGCTTCAGTACATAGTGAACGAAGCCCAGATGAAAATATTAAATTGAAAATTTTCAGATCAAATTTCAAATTACTTACAAAAATTTGGTTAAATTTCAAATTTTAATATGAAGATTGGAGAAGCTTGCTTCTGAAGTTTTGTTGTGACAATTTCCAGCAATTTTAAATCAAAGTTTAAAATTTTACCAAATTTATTTTTTCTTGCAACTTGCAAACATGGAGAATGATCCGCCTTGATTCTGAGGTTTCATTGCTAGAGAGTGTCATCTGTCATAAATTGATTTTATGTTTTTTAGTATTAAACAATTATTATTCTTTGCAACACCTTGAAAACGAATACGACAGAACAATATGTGATCAAGAAAAGAATCCTATGTCTTGTTTGGACTTATTTTATGCAATTTTTTATATTATTTACTTTGAATTTCCTCTTTTTAATATCCTTCTAGCTTTTGTAAATTTCGATTTGTATACCAGTATGATTTCTTTCCAAAATATAATTTCCGCAATTGTTAAACTTATAAAGAATCCTTTTTATAATTCAAACTGATAGGTGGAAACGAGAACTTTTCCTGCTTCGGTTTTGTGTGTGTGTGTCATGTAAGCTGCCTTAAGAAAACCCTTTCCCCTGATTTGTTCTAAAGCCTTCCTTAATATCTTGAGACATACATACATGCTGGTGAAGCCAATGAAATTGTTCAGTCACCAACATAGATGAAGAAAACCAAAAAATTGATCCAAAGACAACTTACTGATCAGATGTACAATGTTGTCTCCATAACCTTACGGGTAGCTTAATCATAACTGAAATGACTAAATCGAGTGTGAGCTCCTTAATGGCTGAAGCTGAAAAGGTTCAAAGCATCGACAGGTACCAGATTTTGAACCTACCAATATATTAAATCCTAGAAATTAGGACATGTGTCTAATTTTGAAGGTTAATAACCTTCCTAAATTTAAGAACATTCATACAAGTGTTTAGCCCTTCTGGAAGACACCTTGGTCACTCTTCCGTAGGAAAGGTTAAGGTGGACCATTGGACTTTCTTGAAAAGAGTGGACCACCAGAGTCCAGACCATGAATACACTGGACTACTTAGGTGACAGGTTTGTGGTTGGTTTAATATTAACTAAGTGTCCCACCGGGATTTGGTCCATTTTGGATTGCGATCCTGAGCAAATATGTATGATTTTGTTTTGATGGTTTTGATGATGTGGCAGTTGTTTTTGTTTTGAATATATATATCTCCTTTTTGCAGTTAAAAACTTTTCTTTTGCTAAATAAAATAACTATTATTAGTTAGGAACAAAAGATGCATGGTCTGATAGCTGTGGTCAAACCACAGTAAGCACAGCACATCTAAGTGTTCAACATATTAGGCCATCCTATGAGTTAGAACATCAAATTATCTATTTACATAACAAAAATAAACTGGCCCAACAGTACATAACAAGGACTATAGAAAACTATAGAACAAAAAAAAATGATAACATTACCAAGGCACTATAGCTAAAGAGCCTGAAGCACAACTGCTTGAAAATCTGAACAAAAACAGAATCCTTTGCCCAATCCAACTCCAAAGTTATGTGAGGCCCACAACAACAAACCATGGCTTGAGATCAACTCGGTCTTAATAATAATCAACTGAGTTAGGAGGCAACAAAGCAAACAGAACCTAGATGGAAGATATATACACAATACAGTACAAGTGGCACAAAACGAATTACAAATAAAGCATTCAAACTTTCTAAGTTCAAATGGAAATGATTTGTGTTGGCATTGTTCCATGCATCTGTGATCACACTGATACTCTTTTCTTGCTTGGTCTTGATTTCCAAGGCCCAGTTTTGTGGTCCCATGTTACCTCCTATCCCTTAGCAAAGGTTGAGTTGCAGTTCCTACAAAAACAAAAAGAAATAAAAAACACAAATATGACAAATAATCCCTAATTGATGCAATGAACTGATTTTTTGAATGTAAAAAACAAGGACAATTGCAAATGTATCTCCTGACTCAAATTCTACAATTGAAGAAATACCCATTCTAATGATCTGGATAACAGAAATCTCTTCAATGGCCCACAATATGGAAAAAAATCAATTACAAGTTTACAAGATTTTTTATCTGTTTTATTCAGTAAGGATATGATCACTGGTTCATGTATACTTTTTTTGAGGTGCATCTCCCGTTCAAAAGCCTGCACACCCATGGAAAGAAACCAGCAGGTGTGGATATGCACTATTGGTGCAAGGTAGGTTGGTTCCCACCACCTAATCTTCACACCAACCACTACCATATTTCCCCTATAGCATTGCTGAATAAACTGTTATGGAGACTAAACTTTTTTTTCTTAAGGAAATTTCAAGAAATAGATAGAAAAAAGAATGTAGATATTAAGGACATCCCTAAATTACCTTCAACTACTTGCTGTCCTAAATTCTTTCCAGTTTTCTCCCGAATTTCTGCCATGACCAAGCGAGATAAAAGAAGACCAGCAATAAATGCCCCAAGAATAAGCATCATGAAAACTGCATTCCATCCCTTCTTTGAAATAAACCCTGTGAAAAGAGGTCCAAGTGCAGCACCAACTGATCCTGTTCCATCAATAATGGCAGTCACCGTTGCCAATGCTCTAGAATCCCCCTTGAGAGAGCTGTGTGTCCCAAGATCCGCAGAAACCGCAGTAGTGATCAGTGCATAGGGCCCATTGACAAATAGCCCAGCAATCATCATCAATATGAAGTTCATTGACTTAGAATTACTCCCATAAAAGCGATATAGGAGCATTGAAGGAATTGCAGCGTACATGAAGCTTGCTGCTGTAATGGCCCGAGCATTAAGTCTATCGGAAATATAGCCAGCAAGGATTCCACCAACAATTCCCCCAACATCAAAAAGAGTAGAAAGATTGCCAGCAGACTTTACAGATACATACTCTCCACCAATTGCTGAAAAAGGATAATAATGGTTTATATTAGAAACATGCTAACCAGATTTACCATGAAGTTCAGGTGATGCTCAAGGCCCCTTGAAAGCAGTTTTGTGTCTTTTACAAAAGCATGTAAACATTTATGACAAGTACAGGAATATTCCTTGGCGGAATTAAATATATTGTTTATTTTCTCTGTGGGATGCTTCTAATGCCTATTCTCTTTGATTTTTAATAAATTCTTCGTTTACTTATCAAAAAAATATCAATAACAATTAACAACTAATATCTTCATGCAGCCAGTAAAGGGCAGACTAAGGTAATGGCAAATGACAAGTTTGTGCTTACAAAAGGAATAAAAGAACCATGGCATAGAAGCAAAAGGGGGTTGAAGCTCACCATAATGGCCTAAATGATGGATCTCTTCGATCAAAAATCATTTTATCTTATAAACAGAGGACCCAATGTAAATATAAGAGCAAAATCTGACAAACACTCCAATAAAGTATATACATGAAGTGGCCAACAGTCACTTAAGATTTATTTGGACCTAAGATTTCATAAAAAAAGGGCATACTAAGGTAAATATCACACATACGCCCTGAGAAGTTTAAACAATGACTATCATATGCAAAGATAATTGTAAGTCAATCGTATTCAATTCAGACCTGAAGTATGATGAGAAGAAGAAGAAGAAGAAGAAGAAGAAGAAGAGAAAGGGAAGAAGGGTTCAGCTATAGTGGAAAAGTCTTACTCACCTATCCAACTCACTTGTATAATCTGAAATGCAAAAGACTGAATTGTCCCTCATTAAGTATGGGACACATAACTTAAACTTAAACAGAACAGACTATTCACTCTCAACTAGATAGGCAAATGACTAAAATGCCCTTGTACTGTCGACTCTAACACTCCCCCTCAAGCTGCAGAATATATATCATATAGTCCCAACTTGTCACATATGTAATCTACTCTGCCCCGAGACAACCCCTTTGTAAAAAGATCTGCCCACTGGTTTCCTGAACTGACATGAGTTGTAGTTATTACTCCATCGATCACTTTTTCTCTTACAATGTGGCAGTCGACTTCAATATGCTTTGTTCTCTCATGGAAGACAGGATTAGAAGAAATGTGTACAGCAACCTGATTATCATATTATAACCTCATGGGTCTATCAATTGAAAATCCTATTTCTTGTAACAAATTCTTTAGCCAGACTAGTTCACATGTAATATGAGCCATAGCCCTATACTCAGCTTCCACACTGCTCCTTGCCACTATTGTTTGTTTCTTGCTCTTCCAAGTTACCAGATTGCCACCAAGGAAGGTACAATACCCTGTGGTTGACCTTCTGTCTAACATAGATCCGGCCCAATCAGCATTTGTATATCCTTTTATCTCAAGAGTTCCTCCACTCTTGTATAACAGACCACGATCTGGAGCACCCTTCAAATACCTAACTATACTTGGGACTGCTTCCCAATGTGGGACTCGAGGATGTTGCATAAATTGACTCACCATACTTACAGCAAATGATATATTTGGTCGTGTGATTGTCAGATAATTCAATTTTCCCACCAACCTCCTATACCTTCCAAGATCATCAAACTCTTCACCTCCATCAATACTCAACTTAGCACTCGATTCCATAAGTGTTTCGACTGATTTGGCACCTAAGAGCCCTGTTTCTTCAAATAAATCAAGGACATGTTTCCTTCGATACAGGTTAACTCCATGCCTTGACCTTGCAACTTCTACTCCTAGGAAGTATTTTAGCTTACCAAGATCCTTCATGTGGAAGTGATCCTATAGGTAGTTCTTCAATCTATCAATCCCATTGTTGTCACTGCCGGTTATGATAATATCATCCACGCACACTATTAGCAAGATTTTTCCATCTTTTGAGTCACGGCTGAACATAGAATGATCTATTTGACACTGTTTCATCCCAAAGTTCTTCACTACTTCACTAAATCTGCCAAACCACACGCGTGAAGATTGTTTTAGCCCATAGATAGCCTTTTTAAGTCTACAGACCTTACCATCCTCCCCCTGAGCAACAAACCCTGGTGGTTGCTCCATATATACTTCCTCAATCAAATCACCATGTAGGAAGGCATTCTTAATGTCTAGTTGCAAGAGAGGTCAATCATACATTGCTGCCAATGAAATTAATACCCGAATAGAGCCGATTTTAGCCACGGGAAAGAAAGTCTCCATATAGTCAACACCATATAAGTGAGAATAGCCCTTGGCCACTAACATGGCCTTCAATCGTTCCACACAGCCATCTGGAAGATACTTCACTGTGTAGAGCCACTTACACCCAACAACATGCTTACCGGGAGGGAGAGTAGTAAGTTCCCACGTGTGATTCTATTGTAAAGCAGACAATTCCTCTTCCATTGCTTGTTGCCACCCTGGAGAGGTAAGGGTTTCCTAGACATTCTTGGGAGTGGAAACAGAAGATAGCAGGGATACAAAACGGCGATGGGAAGCAAAAAGATGAGCAACTGAAACATAATGAGAAATAGGATGAGATGTACAACTATGTTTAGCTTTCCATAATGCAATAGGAAGATCAAGGTCAGAAAGAAGAGGTGCAACCACAGGATCTATCAATGAGAACTGAATTGGAGGAGGGGCCGGTTCTTTTCTATGAGTATACATGTCTGATTGGTGGCCTCTTAGTATTAACTGCATGGGTGAAAGTAGGGATGGAACAGAGACCACAGGAATGGGGTCCTCTACTGGAACAGGAAGTGGAACCATAGGAGCGGGAGAAGGAGTATCAGTACTCGAGAAAAAAGGAACTAACTCAAAGAAGGTGACATCCGAACACACAAAGGACCGACGAGAGCTAAGGTTATAACACTTATACCCTTGTTGGGTCCTGGAATATCCAAGGAAAATGCATTTGGAAGCACGTGCATCTAACTTGTCTAAACCAGGTCCTAAATTCTGAACAAAGCTAACACAATCAAAGACTCTAAGAGTAAGAGGGAATAGAGAAAGAGTAGGGAACATGATTGAAAAAGGTGATTGACTTCCAAGGATGGACATGGGCATCCAATTGATAAGGAAGCATGATGTTAGGACAGCATCACTCCAAAAATGCTTTGGGACATTCATTTCAAGCATAATGGACCTTGCGGTTTCAAGTAAGTGTCAATTTTTCCGTTCAGCATTCCATTTTGTTGTAGGGTATAAGAACAAGAAGTTTAATGAATGATCCCATGGTTCTCTAAGTATTCCTGAAATGGTGTTGGAGGTGTATTCTTTTGCATTATCTGAGCGAAGATTTTTAACATGAACTCCAAATTGGGTACGTATTTCAGCATAAAATTTTTGGAAAATAGTGAAGGGGATGAGAGATCCATCATATGGATGGCCGAACCCTGCAGGAAGGTAAGGCGAAATTTCAAAAATTTCTCTCTCTCCCATCTGGGAATCACATTCCCTGTTTTAGAAAATCTGCATTTTCAATGATCAATCTTGAACCAAGAACTGAACCAGATCTGAAACCAAAAGGTAGGAGAGGGAGGTACCTGATACGAAGAAATAATATCTCCCAATGAAGGTGTTCACACCCAAGGAAAACTTCAAAGGCTGCTCCCACTGAAGATGACACAGCGTAGGGTGGAGTAGAATCAGCAGGTTCTTCACAATAACCGAATCCTTCAGCAAGAATTCGATGGAGGGTATGTGAGCACGACTTTGGATCAGTCTTTCTCCAAAAACTAATATCAAGAACCCTTCTTGATCACTCCTACAAAGGAGAACGAACTGGCAATGGCGACAGCAGGAGGAGGGCGCAAGAGCAGAAAATGGCGCAGTCTTACTATAGCTGTCTTCTCTCTTTTTGTGATCTGAGATCTGTTGTGATGAGATGAATGGAGGTTCACCCTCCTCCTTTTATAGCCTTAAAGAGAGCTCCTAATCTCATTAGGAGTTTCCTAATCCAAATCTGTATTTGGATCAGGACTTCACTTTAAGAGATAAGGATAAGCCCTTATCTTATCTATAGATTAGATCAGCCCTCCTAATCTTATTAGGAGTTTCCAAATTCAAATCTGTATTTGGATCTGGACTCTCTAAGTGGATAGGAATAACCCCCTATCATATCTGTTAATCCAAATCCCAGATCCACCCCCTTCTTTAACTAATCAAATTAGACCAGTTCGAATTGGGCTTTAGGCCCATTAAGTCTATGTGCTCATTAACCTTCCAAACTGCTGCCCAGTTGGGTTTTCTTGTATGGCGTGGGACCCAAACATTGAACTACACATCAGCCACATGGGTTCAGCCTAGCCTCTGTTACAAGGCCTGGCCGAATTCACTGTTATGGGCAGTGAACCCCTGAGCCCATCACCATGGGCTCTTAATAGGCCCAACACTTACAGTAAGTGGTCCCTGGCCCAAGCCACCTTATAAAAACCCAGGGACTGTGGGCAGATACAAGATTATCCCATCAGGTACTACCCTCAATGGTCTTACACTTAACCTCTCAGCCCATAATGATCAAACACTGCCCGACAAGAGAGGACCTCTCCCTCGGCTGCAAGAAACAGTGTTGCACTCTCTACATATATATATATATATATATATATTGCAAAAACACAGCTTTGGTTTCCATCAGAGAGAGTGCATCCCCGATCATTACCTTTGTCCGACAAAGGGGTTGATCATGTCACTRTGATCACCCACTCAGATGAATTCTCGGACTGTCCCAACATACCCAGGTTTTGACCCCCTCTAAGGATCTCACTGATTGGCATATCAAAGACAGTCCAATCTGACACCTAATGCAGTATCATAATCGAGTCTAGGGGTCAGGTGTAACATTCCAGTTTTGCCCACTAATCACCAAGATCCAAGGCAATACTGGAATTCTGGTCCGGTTCAAGGTTTCAAGTAAACCTACATTGCATGTACCTCGAGTCTTACCCTGGCAGCTGAGACAGGCTACCCCAACCAACTTGGCGGCACATCAGTGTCAGCCTTATCAGGATAGATCTC